AGCATCTTCACTGATCTGAACTTCTCCAGTCTTACTCCCTTCCAACTCTTCTACTAATTACAACTGGTATAGTCTTCCTAAAGTCTGTAAAACCCTTCAGCTGTTTCCCTTTAACAAGAAAATAAAGCCTAAGCTTGAAGAACTTAAAGTCCTTTGTGATCTAGCCCTATCTCCAGCCTCATCTCCTGCTACCCCTCCCTCAAAGAAGCTTTATGGTCCATTCATACTGAACCATTTGGAGTTCCCCATAACTCCATGCTTTCTGACATCTTTATGCCTTTGTGGTTCCTTTGTCTCTCTGTAAACCCCCAATAAACTTTAAAAATAAAGCACAGATGCCGTCTTTTGTGAAATGGATTATGTAAATTGAGAGAGGCCTATGTGTTTCCTTCAGTTTAAAAAAATGTATAAATAAAATTTATAATTGAGTACCCATTTTTGTCTTTACACATTATTATGCACAGCTATACACAGCACAACCTTTAGCAGATTTAATCACTCTTGTCTCAGTATTCTTTTTGTAGCTTAATTCTATTAATTAAAATTTTTCTGCCTAATGCTTCATCTGGATGGTAGTAATTGCTCAGTATGTTTGTTAAATATAATTCCCATTCTGCCATTAAAGTTATAAAATAATTCCCCAAAGGAAGAGTTTATGTAACTATAATCCAGCATCTCATTATGACTATTATGGTTTACCTTTCTCCTAATGGCAATAGTTAAGTTCATTTAGAACCTTAATGATTTTCTTCTCTAATCTTTCACATCACTGTTTTGATGTTTACACATTGTATTAAAGTGCACCCAAATGAATATTCCCTGCTTATAATATTTTCTTTTAAATCCATTCCTAACTTACAATGTTTTAGTACTCCTCCTCCCTTTTCTTTTAATTGATTCTGGTTCCTTACAGCATATATAGGAAGCAGATGTGTATTTCTTTAAAAAATTAATTTACATAAGAGGAACTTAGGTAGGGTAGTTACAGTTCTGTGGCAGAACTAGCTGACAGTGGTAACTTCCAGGTTCCCACCATCAGAACATGCACATCGACTCCCTATGAAGGCTGAGATAAAGTGAATGGATGGGCAGGAGGCAGATTAGTCTTAATAGTGGATGAAGTAGGAGGTTGCCTGTAAGAGATGATATCAGGAGTCATTCTCCTCTCCACAAAAACAAGATAAAATAAAATACCCTATCACATTTCTCATCAAAATGAGAGTTAACACGTCAGAGTTTGAGATTATTTTTCCTGGGGTAAAAGGCAAAGCCCTGGGAGTTACTAAGCCTTAACCATTATATGCCATTTGGGATGAGTCTACTGGTTTCTTTCTTGAAAGAATGCAAGAGATGTAATGACTTGTTTAACGTCAGTATTTCTAGGAATCCTTTTATTACGTTCACGTTTATTTTTATGTTTAATTTTAACCTCAATGGCTGATATAAGGTAAGTAATCAATAAAGTAATGATCAGAAGAATGCATGAGAAAATACTGACCTTGAGTTAGAAGAGACTACCCTTATTAAAGGAGCAAAATCAACTAGAAAAAAAGACTTCAGTTGAACCTTAAATCCTAAAGCTTAAATACATATATCTAAATTCAAAATTATCTTATGTTAAAATAATAACAATAATAAATGTGTAATAAAAATGAGTAATTACTATTCAATACATTTCACATATATACATAATGGTAAAGTTAAAAGAAGCATATAGACCTCCCTCAATCTACACAGTATACATGCTCCTGCAAAGTTGGTAATGAAGTAAATTTCCGAGCTGAATAAAATTATAAATTAGGCATCTTTTTTTTTTTTCTGGACAAAAATGAGCTAAGTTTAGTCTGAAAATAAATGGCTTAAGATAGTGGTCAAATCTATGAATGTTGAATTTTGTATAGATAGAAGGGATTTCTTAATCTTGCAGAGCAATTCAATTCCACTCAACAAATGACAAGGGTCTACTAGGTACTGTGGGTATTAAAAATTGACCAAGAGATAGCTTCTTATAAAACAGTAGAAAATATAAAACAAAGCTCAAACAAAATGTGTTAAGAGCTTTTTGAGTGGAGAGAGGGTGACAATTAACAGAAGACATCAGAAGAAGTGTCATGAAGCAGCTAGTATGTGGATGCACCACAGAGAACTGTTAAAACTTTTGCCCATCTGAAAGAAGTGAACATCATTTTAGGGAGTGGTTCTGAAACCTTAGGATTCAGAAGAATCTCATGTGTCTGTTGGTTGGGGGTTGCTGCATCATTCTTTATCAGTTAGCTATTGCTACAACAATGATGTTTAACAAAACACATCAAGATGTAGTGGCTTAAAACAGCCACCTCTTACTGTCTCTCATGATTTTGCTGGGCAGTTCTGCTGATCTGAGCCAGGCTCAGCTGATCTCAGCTGAGATCACTTCTATATTGGGGGTCATCTGCGGGGTTAGCTGGGGGCTGGTTGGATTAGGGTGGTCTCAGCTGGTAAACTCAGTCTTACTTCCTGTGGTTCCCCAGTCCTCCCTTAGGCTACCCTGGGCTTTTTCTCCAGGCTGAGGTAGGGTGAAGCTGAATGGCTCTTCAGATCTAGGCACCGAAGTGATACACAGGCACATTTGCATCCTCTGGGCTAGAGCAAGTTTCAAGCCAGCCATTCAGGAAACAAGGAAATAGACTCCACCTTTCTATGGGATGAACTGCAAGGTCACATTGTAAGGGCATGAGTAGAGAGTGGGAAGAATAGGGGTCATATTTGTAATTAGTCTACCATAATAGGCTTCTTCATTTTGGCTGAAATAGGGAGTAGGTGGAATGAAGCTATCTGGTGATGCAGGCCAGGGTTAACCTGACGTTTATTTCAAATTCAGGCAGTAGTGAGCAAACACTGAAGGGTTTTGAGCAGGGAAGAAACGTGTTCAGAAGTCTGGCTTTAAGAAAAAGCTTGTGTGATTATGGGTGAATGGAAGCAGGCAACAGGAGAAAGGATATCTTTTTTAATCATGTAGGTGGAAGTTAATAAATTGTCAAATCAATGTGGTGGTAATGGGCACGGAATCAAGGGGAAAAGTAAGAAAGTTCCTTAATAGGGACTGAACTGATAAAACCACTGATAACAGGCTTGATGGGCTGGTAGCATCTCCTTTATGTTCCTTTCCTTTTATACCAACCTCAAATATTCAACACATCCAATAAGAATTCCAATCCAGAGTGCCCAGAAATTACTGTCAATTGTTATATGATAATATGGCATTTAATATCTAGTGGGACATATAATGATACAGTAGAGATGTGGGACCAAGATCCAGTGCTTTGATCTACCATTTTAATGGAGCTCAGCTTTCTTATCACATCCCAGACTGGAAGTTTTTCAAAGATTGAGGCTTTAGTTCATTTAGTAGTTTTTTCTCCCCCTGATGATTCCATACTTCTATAGATACCTAATTTAAAATTTGTAAAACATTTATTTAAAATGAGATGAGGTTGCACAACTACATTATTTTCAATTTTATTTAAATCAAATAAAGCTGTGACTGATGTTAAGAACTGGCATAGAAACCACATGAATTTTGAGATAAAAATTTAAAGACGAAATCCTAGTACCTAATTATCTTATCCTGAAATAATTAAGTGTAAAAGATATACATTTTAAACAGTCACACACATGTAGACATTACACAATGCACATAATGAAGTCATAAAACATTTTATACCGCTTTATTATAAATAATTGGAAACAATATTTCATTTTTCAAACCCAGATAACAAAATAGTAAATATCATGCTTTTGTTTTTTTTTTCATTATTTCATTTTATTTTTGTAATATGAGTTGGGAAGTACTATTTCTTATCAAAAGACTGGTAACAAAAATCTGTAGGAACACAAAAGAACAAAAAAACTCACTTTCATTCACTTAAAGGAAAACAATCGAGAAGGTTTTTAGAGGGAGAGGCTAAATGGTGCTACGAAGGAGTCACCAAGAACAGAAAGACTGTGTATTATCAGCAAATATCACTTGTAAGGCAAAATGGGGTTGTACACAAATCCAAAAACTTATGTTTTTGGTGGTATATTTTAACATTTTCTTAAAAATGGAATAGCTTTATTCTCTCAAATGGAGGAAATCTCTATTGTTGCTTTAAAAAAACTTATTTTTCTAAGAAAGGATATCTAATATATATTTCAGTTTTCATATAGTAACTCACATTTTGACAAAAACGCTTCACTACTGTAACCTTGCACACTTAGAGGCAGAAAGCACTTTTTGACAAAACACTGTAGCAACTTCAAATTGCCACAAAAAACTGTACCCCCAAATTCACTTAAAATAGATTATTTCATAGGAATATTTTCACTAAGAGAGTTATAGTAGCTAGCAGTCAGAACTTTTTAGGTGACTATGATGGATTTTCTTTTCGTGTATTTTCTTTATGTTTAATACAGGGTTTTGACAGTTTTCTCCACTAAATAATTTTTTAAAAATCAGAAATTGCCTATGAAAACAGAGATTGAGAGAGAAAAATGTGAAGAAATAATGTATTTCATAAAATAGTGTAGTAGATTTCTCTGAAAACTTGTGTTTATTTGCATCAATGAAGGACAATGTTGTATATTCCAGATTAAACAGCTATTAGGTTTACCATGGAAATAAACATGCTATGTACAATGATATTTATAATTCTTCTTTTATTTTTATAGACTTCAAAGTGTATCTCTCATAGAAACTGGAACAGGGTGAATCTGGAAAGCATGTTTCAGTTAATTAGCAAAAATTAAATTAGCATGAAATAACAGAATGAAGAACTGAAATCATTATTTTAAAAGTAATGTAATGAAGTTACACTTAAGTGTACACACGCAGAAAGATATTGTAAAATGAACCATTCCAGCTTCCTTGCTTTTACTCCAACTTAATATACTTGAAAATACTGTTTTCATGTATAATATCAAAGGAAATATTAAATGCATGTATATTATTTTAAAAGCTTGATGGTATATTTCACATTCTTTAAACTTTACTCACGCTATAAATATATTTATATATCAGTCACTCAGTTTTTAAAGTAAATGAAAACTGTCACATGGGGGGATAATTTTTTATCTCATATGTCCATACTTGATTATGTCCTTTTTTCCTGAAAACTGTATCAAAAACCAGAGTAAGTGGAGCATGTTTCTACCTCACACTATTATTCTTTATGTACTACAATTCATTATGGTTTACCAAAATGGAATTTACATTTGAAGATGGGTTAACTGAAATCAATTAGTAAGTATGATTAAAGAGTTAGGCTTCTGGAATCCATTAACACTTAACCAACTTAGAGGGCAATGCTTATTCTTCCTAAACTTTTATTAAAATTGTGCAACAGTATAAACTGATTTTTAGTAGGTTTGCATAGAAATAACACCATTTCACTGGTGTGATACATTTTTTCCAAAGGATTATGGCAGGCCTGTTTCTATTCTTCATGTATATTCTTCTTTTTTTGTTGTTCATTTCCTCCTCCTCCTCCTTCTTCTCAGTTTTTACATGAAATAAACCATATTTGTCATCTGGCTACCATAGTTCTAAAATAAGATCCAGTAGTAGTTTGAAGCACAGTGAACTGAACAGTTTCTTCCCTTTTTAAAACATGATAGTGAGTGGCATTCTCCATAGTCAAGCCATATGAACATGGTTAACCCCATCAGGAGACTCTTGTGAACTCAAAAGGCTCCAAATCCATAGTTAAGAACCTTGGTGACTTCACATAACTGCCACTAGTGGCTGGAAGGGAGACACTATCGTTTGCTTCAGAAGTTTTCAAGCAGTTTCTTGTCTGGTAGCTTCTTCAGATTCTCTGTTGCTTTTATTACTGCTTCTGACATTATGCCTTCAAAAGTCCAAAGGTCGAATCATCATTGTTGTGGAACGTAAGGAGTAACTGGGCCCTTTGAAGTAGTGCCACTTTATCCCGTTCAGTTTTCCGTGGTTTTGTCCAGCAGTATAGAACATTCCATTTAGATTGGAGGGGCCACAAGCATCAAACCACCAGCCTGAAAAATGAGTTAATAATGAAAGAGAAAAGAAGAAGAAACAGTTAAAAGTAAATTGAACATGTGGAAATTAATGGCACTAACCATGGTGGACTTTATACTTTGTACGATCATTTGCAAATAGGAGGCATTCAATAAAAAGCTTCTTGGTGGTGGAAATGTCTTAAATGACATCCGATTTAGGCAATGTATGAACAGAGAGGAATGCTGCCATGGAAATCAAGTTTCAGCGTCACTCCATTGGGACTCATTTCCCACTGTAATGATGGAAAGCTTCTGGGATTCAAGATAAGATCGAATTCAAACCTAGATTTATATGTAGGGCAAGTAAAATGCAGATACCCTTGGGCATTCCACCTTAAGCCTGTTGTAGGAATAGAACAATTATTAGTGAAGAAGTTCAGAAGCTTAGAAAACTGACATCTAAATAGAGTGAAAGAAATGTTTTCCATCTACTTCATAATTTTGCCAAGAACTGGTCCACAATTGCTTCTGAAATTAACTGGATACTGGGCAATGACTATGATGCACAAATTGAACTTGAATTACTGTGCTCTCCCTATATTTTATAGCAATATGGGAAGTGTTCATCAATAGTAGCCATATAGGTTCCTTTAGAGCAGTATTTTTTCCTGTGACTGTTCAAGTTCTTTCAAAGCCTAGTAAAAAGAAAAACAACTTGATGAGTAACATGGAGACACTACGCTTGCATAGCTCTCTGTAAGGATAACTTAGTATTTTATTTTTTAATGAATTAAGTTTCTTAGATTTTTAGATAAAACATACTACTTTTTCTCTGTCTCCTGAAGTAACACTACTGAAATCTTTAGGGAGAGATTTATGCCAGAGACATTCTGGCATATTTTTATTTGGATATAGTTGACCTCTCTTTGATTACAGAGTTATACCTAAGGGACTAATAGCTAAAGAAAGAGAAAGCTATACAACTGATGTTTAACTGTAACATGAGCATCATTTTGCAGAAACTAGAAAAAAAACGGAGAAAAGCTAGTTCTCACTTTTCAGTTTTGGAAGGTGAAAACAGTAAGGTTATGTTTATAAAGTCATACGAGGAGCGCAGCAAGCTGTATTAATTACCAACTTATATTGGAGAACAGTAAGGTATGTACAGTAAGGTATGTCTTGATGAATTGGGAGACTGTCTTCAATGCCGTTTTACCAACTGTATGCAAACAACATAGATGTTAATGCAGTCAAAACATGCCCTCAGAAAGGTTCTTGTTTGGCAAGGAAAGATGAACCATAAATTCTATATTTTTTAAAAGATTTTATTTATTTATTTGGGAGAGAGTGAGTGAGAGAGAGAGATAGAGAGACAGAGCACAAGCCAACAAGCCAGGGGAGGGGCAGAGGGAGAGGGAGAAGCAGACTCCCTGCTGAGCCCGATGCGGGGCTCCATCCCAGGACCCTGGGATCATGACCTGAGCTGAAGGCAGACGCTTAACCAACTGAACCAACCAGGCGTCCCTCCACATTTTTTTCTTAAGATTAATTCCTTTAAATTCTTTTTGATAAGTATAACTAGTAAAAATGTTATTTATATTACAAAAAGCATTCTGATATTAGGGAATTTATTCACCCTAATGAGCCTTTCATAGTCTTTCAAATATCCACCATGGTCTCTGAAGGAAGTGCAGCTACTTCATCATTAGGAACTACTACAAATTGTAGAATGATCCTCCAAGTTACATTAGGCGTTCAAGATAAAAGTGTGTGTTTTTGTTTGGTTTAGAGAAAGTCACAAAGTTCTGGAAGACTGTGGGAAGGCAGAGGTCTGCTGCCAAAAGCAGCCTGGCAATAAAGGGCACAGGCTGAAGGATACATTCATGGGGAAATTTTCGATGAGGTTAGCAAAGAGACAAGAAACAGTAGGGGCATGTGAGAGAATCCGATAAATTGATCTTGTGTATGTTTTCTAATGAGTAAAGTGGGGTAATGTTTGTGGTATGGGGAAAGGCATTTTGGAGAAAGAAGACCATACAGCTGGGTCAGAGTTAACAAGAGAAATAGGAGCCTCAAGCTGAGAAAGTCTGAAGATTAAATTACATAGTCTTTTGTTCATAATCCTAAGAACAATGGTATGGCATGGTCTATCTCCAGGCCCATCTCCTGTACTTAGTGCTGCACCTAACAGAGTTTGCTTAACAAATGACTGGGGAGTGACTACAGGCTTATTGACAGATCGACTTCTTTTGACTGTTTCTCTGTGTAAAGTCTCAATGGTCTGAAGTAGTTCAGTTTACTAAAAAGTTCTATATGATAGACACCCCAATATATAACATTCATGCTTATTGTGTTCATTCTTTCTTTCTTTATCCTTTCAATATGTAATTATTGTGACTGTTGTTACATAATACTCAATAAGACAGACCTGGGTCCTCCCTTCATGGAACTTACTCGAATGTGAGAGACAGACATAAAGTAAGCAAATAAGTAAAATACTTACAAATCACGATTAAAAAAAAGAAAAGAATCAAGGAGCTATGAAGGAGGATAAGAGGGGACCTACCTGACTTTTCACATTCACAGAAGAAACTGATATTCATTGAGTGCTGAAGGATGAGAGGGAGGCAGCAGTGTGAAGATGGGGAAAGACGCTTTTAAGCAGAGTCTAGCACCTGCCCATACCATGAGGAAGAAAGAGAGCTTGACATGCTTAGAAACTAAAAGAACATCAGGGTAGCTGGCACATCGTGAACAAGGGGGAAACTCTCAGGAAATGAAGGTAAAGAGTAGGCAGTCTTGGTGCAAAGCTGAACAATGTTCACAGAAAACTTTAGAGTTTATCCGGTCTACTTGTCCATCATCAGATGAATAAGCAAGACATTCTCTAGGAATAGGAACCAAGGGGAACAAGATCTATCAGGGTGAATATTAATTAAATATTATTTAGAGCCCTCATTCCATAACTATGGTCTGCCAAAGCCATCCTGAGCATCTGTGGCAGCATAACAAGGGGAAAAAATCAATTAAGAGTCATTTCAACAAATATTAACCGAGATACAGAGGTTGGAGTTGAATAAAACAGAATTCCTGGCTTCAAGGAGTGTACAGTTTTGTGTAGGAGAGAGAGAGACAATAAACTGTTTCAAAATGAGATGATGGTTGTGAAACAGAGATGAACAAAATCTATGGAAATAGGCAGAAAGTCCTGTCAGTGGGTCTGCAAGGTTTACTTATTTACCACCTGAGCTGTGTCCTGAAGACTGATGTGAGTTCATTGAACAGAAAGAAATTCTGAACACAGTTTGTACTCTGAAAGAGTAGGAGAAAGTGTCTGCCAGCAGCCTGCTTTGGCTGGACTGCCACTAGGTAAGGGGCTGGAGAACATAGGGCTAGCAAAATAAACAGGAGGGAGAACACAGAGGTTTTTTTTTTTATGTTTAGAAATTTTCTTGTGGGCAATGGAGAGCCTGCAGTGCACCAGACAAGGAATTAGAAAACCTAGACTTTGATGCTGACTGCACCAATAATCAAGACATCCTAAGCAGCAATAATTATTGTTATAATATTTGATACTTATAAAATAGTTAATATGCATCAGGAATTGTGTTACAATATTTATATGCATCCTCTCACTTCTTCCCCCAAACAATCTTAGTTGATGTGGCAGGTACTGTAATAAAGACACTGATGCTCAGGGAGTAAGGAGATTTTCCAAGGTCACACAGTCATTTGATTCCTCATTCTTATGATGTGGTTTATATTGTCTGATCAGCCATTTTCACAGCCTGGTTGTATAGATCAAATAAAATGACACACTGACTATTCAGACCAGTAAAATCTGAAATAAGTGCTTAGTGTAAGTTATTAGGAAATGGGATGGAAGATTTAGGGTGGGAACAACAAGGATTCGATTTTGGGGGGGGCACCATAATGATTTAATAATGAAGACCAGATTGTCAGTGTGAATATTTCTCCTTATTTGCTTGGCAGGGTTTAATTAGAGAAATACAACAATAATTTGGACCCAAATAAGTACAGTCATACAATGTTTTCATTGTAAAGACAATGGCACTTAAGTACCTAATATGATTGGAACAACTGTCTTCAATGATTTGTTCTGACATCATGTGGAAATCAAAGACCTTAATGTGTTTGACTATCTTACACGCACACTATGGACAATCACAGAACACCTGATGATAACAAAGACTATGAATTAAGACGGCACAACACAAAATGAAAGGGCGATTATTTCTCATGACAATTTTTGTCGTAGTGTTCTTTATAAAATACTCCAAACTTCAAGGTAGCAAAAACAGTTATTTGTATGCAAGCAGGTATTCCGTTTCCTCTGACACATGCAGTAAAACAACAAAGGAATTTCTACTTTCTACTTTTCTTTGAAAAAAAAAAAAAAGCATGGCCAGCTCTTTTAAACATAAATCCTGAAAAGACAAGGTTTTAAAATATATTTATAGAAAGCAAGCAAAACTATAGCAGGGTCCTGGTTACTCATATGGACTCCTTGGCATTCATAGATAATCCTATGTGCTCACGGGTAATCAGTACATACATAAGTTTGCAAGCAATGGAGGTGTTCTTCTTGAACACACAGAGAGTATGCCTGGGGTTGCAGCTTCTCTCTGATAAGATACCAAATAGCTGAAGATATTATACATCCTCTACAATCTTGAGGAAATATTAAACTCTGTACTTTGTTCTGTGTGTGCCTACGAATAACAAACGAGCCACATGCTAAAGAAGTTAATCTAGGAAAGGCATTTTAACCATAAAAGAACTCAGCGATGCAAGCAAAGGATGGAAGAAACCAGCAGCTTCCATCTGTTGTTGGGACAACTGATAAAATGTCTCAAATGTTTTAAGATTGGCAACTGCTAAGATGTATGTTGCCAAGCATTTTTCTTCATAACCTGTAACCTCATGTATATTTTAATAAGAAATCTGAGATGCATGTTTCTAATTCATTTACACTTAACTCATTAAAATTTAGTTTTGTACTAACTATCCCGGGC